GTGAAGAACAGCAGGGACACATTTAACAGTGCACAGGATTTAAATGCTATTAAATGCCATTAATGCTGTGTGCAGTATTTGGATACCTGTAACGAGGGTCGTTAATTATCAGCTTCATTGCCTGCTCCCATGATGCATTGGAGGAAACGCCCTATAGTCACATGGAGGGAGAGAGATGCAAAGTTACTTTTCTCCAAAGCTACAGCATACTTGTTACTCAATAATGCATGTTTGGGGGGAGAAAAAAAAACTCAGAGGGAAGGCTGCACAACTTCATTTAGATTTTCTAAAGAACCTATTTAGTAATCAACACATTTGATTTCATTCACAATGAATGATTTCAATTTGACTGAGTGGATCATCTGATTTCTCATGTTATTGTTGAGAGGCATAAATGGGCGTCCACTGAGAGGGAACAGAGTAATGAAAAGGTTTGGAGAAGTAGATCTCCAGGTCGACATCACAAAACATTCAGTTCTTCATCCATTCTGAGCGTGTCTTTCTGAAAGGCTGTCAGGGGTCTGTGAAGCGTGCGATTCCAGCATCTTCGGTTTCACTCACTCCAGTCTAATCACACTCACAGCAATTAAACAGTCGCGGCTCTCTCAGGAGCACTTTGTGTGCCAAATTAAAACACACTAAATTTAGAAAGACCCAGCCGGAATATCAAGACCTCCCTCTTCACTACAGGAGAGAGAGAGAAAAAAATTACCTTTTCTTTCAGCAGTTCTTTAAATGCCTGCTTTGCCTCCTCTTTTGTGTTCCACTTGTAAACTTTCTTCACCAGCTCAGGTCTCTCCTCCTTAGAAACATCATTACTGCAAAACAAACAAATATAGAATAAAACAAGATATTATAAAGCAACTATAGCAATTTACCTTTTAAAGGAAAATTAACATTGTGTCTTGTATGGCACAAAACAATTCAATGCTTTGTTTCGTAATCTGACAATTTTCAGCAGGAAGTAATGTAGCACTACTTGGGGTTGGTAAAAGGGTTTTATGCTCTCCAAGTCTGCATTTATTTGTGTAAAAATACAGTATAATTAAAATTAAAACAGTATAATCGTAAAATATTATTACAAACTGATTTTTATTGAAATGTATATTAAAATATAATTTATTCCTGTGATGGCAAAGCGGAATTTTCAGCAGTAATTTTTTGTCAGGATTCTTTGACGAATAGAAAGTTCAAAAGAACAGCATTTATTTTGAAATGTATTCAAATCTTTTGTACATTACTTCAAATTTTGATCGATGTAATATATTCTGGTTGAATAGAAGCATTCATTTCTTTAGAAAAATATTATTGACCCCAAAGTATTAAATGGTAGTGTAAATGAATGAAAATCTCTTTTGTTTTGTTCAGTGAGTGATGTGAGAGGTGTGATGCTCTGGGTGTTTTTGTATGTGTTGAGGCTTCATTACCTGGGTTGTGTCTCTACGCTGGGCACTTCCTCAGTGGAGTTAACAGTGACATCACTGCTGACCTCAGCGACCTGCGCAGGCACGTGAGACGGCTGTTCCTCTGTGGCGACTGTCGCCATGGCAACCTCAGTCTCAGCAACTGCTGCCACGGTAACAGACGACTCACTCTGAGATGTAAGAGCAGGGGTGGTGCCAGGAGCCACAACGTCAGCCGTCCTTCACCAGACACACACACACACACACACACACACACACACACACACACACAGATCAAAAATTATTATAGTTGGATACTCTCTGAATTTGTAAACTAAAAAATACAAATTGTATGGTAATTATATTTTTTAATGTTTTTATGGAATTTAAAAAATGTGAATTACAATAACACAGAAGTCTACATTGACCCTGGAAAAAATATATAGTATTAATATTTTACTTCACTATTAAGCCATTAATTTGTGTAAAATGACCGGTAGCGGTGAATCTGCATGAATTTCTAAACTAAAAAATACAAATTGTATGGTAATTATATTTTTTAATGTTTTTATGGAATTTAAAAAATGTGAATTACAATAACACAGAAGTCTACATTGACCCTGGAAAAAATATATAGTATTAATATTTTACTTCACTATTAAGCCATTAATTTGTGTAAAATGACCGGTAGCGGTGAATCTGCATCAACCTTTGCCAACAATGGACCGTTTTCCATTAATAGTAAAGCATTTTGAAACTTAAAACTGCTTTCTGTAAATCTAACGGTACATTAAAAGGATAGTTCACCCAAAAATGTTTATTCTGTCATGAATTATTAACCCTGTCAAAGCAAGCATGTTTGAGCATCCATTTACCACAATTGATGAGCTCTATGTATGTAGTTACATGTATTAAAAAAGGCCCAAATTAAATGTTCATCATTTAATCACTCAATTGGCATAGATTAAAGGGGTCATATGATGCGATTTCAATTTTTCCTTTCTCTTTGGAGTGTTACAAGCTCTTGGTGCATAAAGAAGATCTGTAAAGTTGCAAAGACTAAAGTGGACGAAGCGGACTCCAGCCCGGGGTCGTCACATGTGGTTGCTGCAAGCCTGCCGACCGCTCCTTCGTCGAATCCGCCGGCCTCCGCTCACTCAAGCGGCCGTGTGTGACGCTGTTTCGTTGTGAAAGCGAAACTACTTTGTTTGGTCTTCCAATGTACAGTATGTGGAAAATAATGTGTTTTTTGAACCTTAAATCACATAAACATTTCATTACACCAAATACACACCATAATGTTCTTTTTAGCAGCATCATATGACCCCTTTAAGAGTGTTTTGAAGATGAACAAAAGAGACACACGGAGTTTGGAACGACATGAGGGCAAGTAAATCAAATTTTTCTTTATGGTCTTATTAAATAAAGCTGATGCTCACCCGTTCTCCTCTGCCTTTATCATCGCTGAAAAAAAGAGAAAAAAAAAAAAAGTCAAACCATTCCTCATGTGAGATTTCTGGATGTGTATAATAATGCTGCTTATTCTGCACACTGACCCTCCAGGTCCTCCAGCTCCTTGGGTTTAGTCCAGCGAGACTCTTTGGTCTGTGAGTTGTAGTAATAGGGCTTGCCAGTGTCTGACTTATTCTCTTTCCAC